AGTTGACCGTTAAATTTGTGGCATGGCAATTAAAAATTACTAAAAATTAATTTTAAATATTCCATCTCATTATTACTACTATTAAAAATTAAAAAATTAATAAATATTCATTTTAAATACCTAATGAACTAATCTCACCCCTCTTTCTCACCGTCGATTGAAAGAGGGTGTCGGTCGAATCCCTAAGCCATGACGCACCCATTGGAGATTGGCTTCAACAGTGCGTTCAGACCGAGGAGAGCAATCTAAAAAGTTACCCGCATCCACTGCCACCACCCTAAATTTGGCTCTGAGACCTTGCATTTCTCCCGGATAAAGCTTCGGGAACTCTATTCCTAACTAGCGGAAGCAGAAGATCTGAGCCTGGCCATCCGAAAGTCAGCGATCGAGAATCAAAGCAATTCTCATGGCGAAGCAAAAAGAGTGAGGAGGGATGCCGCTTTATGAAGTGAGAGTGACGGAGACGGATTGCGACAGTGGACGGTTGAAACTGACTAGAACGGCGCCGAAAGCTGCTGTAGAGGTTCCGGCGAGCGAGAGAGATCGGGAATAGGAAGCCAAAGTGCGGAAGAACGCGAACAGAGAGCTCAGCTTTGGTGAGGTCGCCGCCGCTGAGGTTGAAGAGCAGAGGAGTGAAGAGAGGGAGGAGCGGAGGGGAGAGCGGGTAGAAGAGGAGGGCAGGCAGATCGGGAAGGAGAATCGGAAGTCGGCGGAGATCTCGAGGAGGAGAAGGAGCATTGTTGGATTCAACCAATTCCTCTTCCGACTTCGTAGTTTGGAAATTTTAGCCACCGCCACCGGCTTGCTCGAAATCGGATTGTGCTGCCTTCTTCTCTCCGTTATTTCGCTCTACACTTCCACAATTTCGCCTTGGTTCTTGCCCCCGCCGTCGCCTCCAGGTTCTCTCTCTCCGGCTAGTTCTCCGAATCTGGTGAGTTACTTTATACAGAGATGACCACAACAACTTATTTGATTAGTTCATTAGGTATTTAAAATGAATAATTTTTAATGATAATGAGGTGGAATATTAATTTTTTTCTTAATTGTCACGTCACAGATTTAACGGTCAACTATAAGAGTTGATTGCCATATCAGCCAAAGTTAACTGAGTTGGACGAAGAGTGACCAAATTTGGATTGTTTTACTAAACGTAATGAGCATGAGTGGATTTAAATATTTCGAGTGACAAAAAATAAACTATTTTCGTAATCTCAATGACCAACCATGCAATTAAGTCAAAAGATAATGGACCTCTTTGCCTTGTTTCCCACTTACATTATGTAAGTATATTACTAAAATACACATAAAAAGTATTTTACTAAAAAATGTAAGTATTTATTTAAAAAAAAGGTTAGTTACATGTTAAGCCATTTTAGAAGTTGGCCACGAATTATCTGTTTTTATTTATTTATTTATTTATTTATTTATTTATTTATTTATTTACAATTCATGTAATGGAGTACTTGATATATTTAGTATATCCTCCCTTTGTTATTTAAACGTGTATAAATCAACACACGAAACAAACTCAAACTTTTCATGTTGATGATCGCTCTCGTGATCGCTCTCGCATTCCTGTTTTTGTTCAAAGTTACGAGGGGCTCGCATATGATCTAGATGTAAAGCTCTTAGTACTTGTAATGCAACAATGTGATGTCTCACTTATGACACACGATTTTTTAAAATGCCTAGCCTAGCTTCTTAATCAAAATATCAGACAAAAAGATTCATCTCATCCATTAAGTCGACGTATCCCAAAATGCCAGGCTTTGTGCATTTTTCATCCTCCCCAATACTATATACACGTTCCGCATGAGAACCTACATAATTCTAAAATCCTAGCTTCCTGCGCAACTCAAGGAAGGAGTATCTGGTCTTTTTGGAACAATGACCAATCATTATTCCGTCCTGCCTGCCATCCCGCTCCCTTCACTTTCTTTTCTAATTTGGGTTCCACTAGAGTACAATCTAACATTGGCTTGGCCATAAATTAAAATCAAACGGTTTTTAAACCAAAGATCATCTATTAATCCATTATCCAATTGGGGAGGATACTATCATTCCATGTGTATCTAGAACGCACTTAAAATACTATTACTTCTGAATGAAATTGTGAAGGTTATTTATAGGACATGATAGATTCCAGTCAAATGTCATTCACATACTTGATTAATTAATGGATCATCAGTTGTGCATATGAGAAGACATTGTTTTCATATGTTCATCTTGATACAGGCAAATCTACCAATTATAAAAGTGAATCATTTTGGGTTAAGATGAAATGCACATAATTTTAATAATGTATTTTGTTATGTGTTATAAATTAGCAGTTAAAATAAATAAATTTGATTCATGATCATTGTTTTTGTGATAAAGTGATGGGGACGAACCACCTCATCTAGTGAGATTCAAAGATCAAACCCGACCACCAATCCCCACAAAAACATTGAAAAAGTGAATAAATTGAAAATCCAAGATGGGGAGAAATAAATATGGGTTTCAATATAATGAGTCAATAACACTTTAATGCTAACTATGTTAGCAATACTTATGGCAATGCGTATTCATAAAATGCAAAGTTGTCAAAGTTTCATAAAATCTATTAGTACAGAGATATGATTAGAGGAGAATTAAACAAAACAAAGGAAATAAATAAATTATCGAATGAGGAAGAATTGAGACTGGATTGAGACTAGATATTTAGGGGGGAGAATCGATAAAAATTTAGAGGGATATAGAATACAATTAGGGTTTAGAGAGAGCAAAATTGAAAGGATTATAGAGGAAGAATAATGAGAGATTAGATTTATTTGATTAGCTAAAACTTTTTTTTATTCTTTAATAATGTAACTAAATGAATAAAGTACCAAAGGTAAGATAGCCTAACGGTAAAGTTGTCGCAACAGCGAAGGTTTGGGAGTTGCAGATCCCAGGTTCGAATCCAAGCGAGGCCCGTTGGTGTTTCCCGGAGGTACAAGGCTGCTGTGGGCGAAGCCCCGTTGGCGTCAAATTAAATGCAGGTGGCCCCCAGGTTTAGTAGGACCCGCTGTCACAAAGTAGCACGTGGGGCTGAGGTTCCTGGGTATAAAAAAAAAGAATAAAGTACAAATATATAGGAAAATGCATAAAAGCTAATACTATTCGAACAACAATTTTTTAGCAAACCCAAAATAATTAAATAACACTTCCACACCGTTAATCTCACGGCTAGCCCCTATAAACAAATCCATATTCCATAAATATTTTCTATCTTCAAAATAGTAACTAATTAATCTTTAGGAATTTGCTACAGTAACGTGCATGTCACGGTGACTTGCACTTTTCGGTCGACCTCATAAGATTAGGTCGACCTAATCTGTTGTTTCAGTGTAAAAACAGTTTCATGGTGCCTAATTTGGAGATTCATATCTTACAATTGGCTAGATGGAAATTGGAGATTAATGGCTTGTTTTGAAGCTGAAGTGTCCCTCTACACATTAAAGTACTTGGGAGCTCAATAGAAAGTCCAGAAGACAATTTTTGAACCTGATCAAAAGGCTATGCCAAAACTTGGAAACTGCCTGGAAATGGCTCAAGTCTGGGAACGTGTTTGTGAAGCCTACTTTGGAGCTCAATTTGAGAAGCATGGATGCGAGTCAAGTCCAGAGGCTTCTACCACATTAAATTAGGTATGTTTTTATACAAATTCAATGCATTGGATGAAAGATTGGATATCTGTAAGGCTTCAAACAAAAGGATCGAAGTTGCTATGAAGGCTGTTTTTCTGGCAGAAATTATATAGATTTTCAATTTAATATGTTTCATTTCACGTGTTATTCAGGCCATAAGAGAGCTGTTTTCTTACCACCAGAAGGTGTAGTGGATTCTGCTTATTCAGCTTATTCAGTATTCTGCCTTGCTTACAAGTACCAAAATGAATGGAAATGTTACCCCACAAAGAGCTACAATTGAAACTTCCAGAGTATGTATTACCTTTCCGTTTCAAAATTCAAATAACATACATTACTTTATTTCTAAGTGCAAATCTAATACATAATTCGGTTACAGGGGATTGGTTGTCAAGGTAACTCTATTTGGTAGGATAATCACCCAATTTAATGCCATTCTTGCAAGTGCTGGCAATCGTCCTATCATCCTGGTCATTACATCATTATACATCGCTGATTTCAATGGTAAACACACAATTTAATTACTTTCATATAAATTAATATAAACTAAACACTTAATTAACTTACCTTCACATTTGCAGGTGAGAACACATTCTCCTCAAGCGGAGCGAGGCTGATCCACAAATTCCTGAAGTCATTAATTTTGCGCCTAGGTAAAACTCGCGACATCTTTGTCATCGTATTGTTGTGAATTTTAAGTTACAAACTTATAACGTATTAAGACATTAATTACCTACCTTTTTGGTGAATAAAGCAGGGGTGATCCGCTAGCTCCACCAGTGAAGGAAACAGAAAAACATCAAAATTTAGTTCCACTGAAAACAATAGATGAGGTGAATATATTGAAGATGAACGAGGGAGAGGAGGTCAGTACCAGTTTCAATTCAACAACCTAATGATTATCAATCGCTAACACTACATATAAAATGCAGGGAAATATGTATTCTGTCATATGAAAAGTTCTCAAGGTTAAGAATGGGTGGTGTTATGCTGGATGTCAAAAATGTCCACAAAAACTCGAAGAAGATTCGGATGAGTACTTCTGTGGGAATTGTATGACAACATTAAAGACCACAATAGCCCGGTAATTCGAGGATTGTTAATGTCAATTTTAGTTTCATGTATTTCATTCCTTGATATACTGATAACGTGGTTGGATACATGATTGACTACAACATAGTTTATGTTCCTTTTTTAATTTCATAGATATAGCAACGTGGTTGGTGATTTAATTTGCTGCAACATGGTTTTTATTCAGTTACTTTTGGCTTACATATATTAATTCAACGACCTCACCACTCCTACGATTTTTTTCTTCTTTAATTACGTCATTATAATCATAGATTCAGGATCCACCTCCGAGCTGCGGACACAACAAATGCAGCTGACTTTGTTATTATGGAAGGAGTTGCCGATCGATTTTTTCGCATATATGCTGAAAATATTTTCCAAGACAACGATCAAATGAGAGGACCACCACCGGCTCATCTCAGACAAATTGAAGGGATGACGTTGAAGTTCTTCATCGAGCTCACAGGTTACAACATCGCTAACCCTACAAGTGAATACACAATTATCAAGATAGGGAAGGATGAGGAAAACTCCAACTCAAATGATCTGCCAATATTGATCGAGGTATGTCCAAGTAAAGTCAAACTGTCATTTACAACACTTTCCAATACTTAAGACGTTGATTTTGCAATGTATATGATTCTATGATTGTTATATCTATTACTAGGACTACTATTTATTGAATCATAATTATCATGCACTTTCCATTATATGAGTTTGATTTTGATATGTATATAATTCTATTACTATTATATATATATATATATATATATATATATATTATTGGAACTTTCATTCATTAATATAATCACAAGCAATTGCAGAAGGGAAAAGTAGACCCTGTTAATAGTGTACCTGCCGCCGTTGATGGTGCTGAGAAAAAGCAAGATATGGCTTATATATGTATTAGTGGAACTTTCATTCATTAATATAATCACAAGCAATTGCAGGAGGAAAAAGTAGACCCTGCTAATAGTGTACCTACCGCCGTTGATGGTGCTGAGAAAAAGCAAGATATGGCTCATGAGGCGGAGGTAAATATTACACGATGAGATAATTTACTTTTACTTGCACAATAATTATAACACCTAAAATTTGTACTAAATATAATGCATAAAAATGAGGAAGAAACTCCCCAAATGCAAGAGAAGGAGGCGTCAACATATAATGGAGCACAATGCGACACCAATGGGGACAAAGCAACTACTATGGATGGACTTACTGATGTAGTCGATGGAGCAGGAAGTGAAAAGAACCAGAAAAAACGAAAACATGGAGTTGTCTCCGACGATGAGGAGTAAATAGAAGGATTCTTTTAAAACAATTTTAGGAGTCGGTTCCCTTTCATGAGGTTTTTCTTTTATTTTTCGTATGAGGATTTTGTCGGTCAGGATGTCAGTTGAACTATTTTATTCTCTTTTTATATTTATGGTTAAAGAGGATGTCGGTTAAACTATTTTCTTCTCTCTTCATTTCGTAATGGTTTTGGTACTATGCTGTTTTTTTTCTTGAATGTAAGGCGATGCTTGTTCTTCCTCTGAGGTTTCTCTCGAGGCAATAGCGGAAGTCAATTATAAGTCATTGTTGGCTGATGATGACGTACCCAATGATGAGGCATTCGAGCTAAATGTATCGATACCTGGTGCAAGGAAAGGGAGAAAATGGAGTCAAGCGTAGGCGAGTTGTAGTTATTTTGAGTGTGTGTACAAAGGTGTATGAACCGGAGTAATCCGACACCTTTGGCGCCAATGGAAGAGAATCTCAACCGCACTCTCCGACTCTTGGTCTCGCGTCCACCACTGCAAAGTTCATCGGGTAAACAAACATCCCAACTATTACTAATAAATCCTCTATGATCCCCACGAGGTAAGCTATTGATTTTTGGCCAATTGTATGGCCATGTCCGTTGGTCTCGGGTCCTGCAACCTGAATGCTTGATACAAGTCAAGTCTAATCCCATTGAGATCCGAGAGGAGATCAACAATAACATCTTTAACAATAACACCCCTAAGAGAGCATGGTATGGTGAATAAGTACGAGTCATCTCTCTCGATCACGATTTCATGTTCAATGAACACCGGATAAGCTTGCCCTATGTCGACAATCGGATGCTCGTTGAATTCATGTTTGGTGGCCACCAAATGCTCTATGCATTCTACATACTTGGCGAGCTCTAAGGCTTCTTGGATGACCGACATAGTTAGTTAGACATCTCTGGCTACTTCCTCCTTCCCTTGATCGAACTTCACATTTCCCAGGACTTTTTCCAGAAATAGCACTGTTCAAAAAAAAAATTCCAAAAATACAACCCAACCCCAAAAAATTCCAAAAATACCACCCTTTTTCAAAAACCGCCACCCCACCCTGCGGTTTACACGAAAACCGCTAGGTGGGGGCGCGGTTTTCGATGCAAACCGTTGGGCTACGGGGCGGTTATGAAAACCGCTTGGTGGGGCGGCGGTTTTGGGCCAAACCGCCACCCTACCAAGCGGTTTGGTAAAAAAAAAAAATTCCGATCAACTCCTAACTTCGGACGTAACTTTGCACTCGGGTATCCGATCGTAGCGACTTTTTTTTAATCCAAATAACTTTTTGAGATCTTGCAAGCCACAAACAGCCATTGACCCGCCTTCGTCTCGAAAAAACTTCATTTGCTACCTCGAACGAGCATTTTTTCGATTTCGTCAAACTTTGGGCTGCCATAACTTTGTGCTCCAAAATCCGAACGTCATGAACTTTTTTTCATTCCGCATAACTTTTCAATTACTACAACTTTTAACATAACCATAATTTCTAAATGTACATGGATTTGTGAAAAGTAAAGGTAAAGTTATTCCCAAGGTCCCGTATATCCAAAACTAATTCCTGTTTTGAAAATTTCATCCTAGTAAAACTTTTAGATCTTAAACAGTTATGCGAAATGAAAAAAAAAATTCATGACGTTCGGATTTTGGAGCACAAAGTTATGGCCGCCCAAAGTTTGACGAAATCGAAAAAAGGCTCGTTCGAGGTAGCAAATGACGTTTTTTCGAGACGAAGGCGGGATCAAACCGCCCTACGGCCGTTGGCGGCTTGCAAGATCTCGAAAAGTTATTCGAATTCAAAAAAAATCGCTACGATCGGATACCTTAGTGCAAAGTTACGTCCGTTTGAAGTTTCGGCCGAAGTTAGGAGTTGATCGGGAAAAAAAAAATTTGGACCAAACCGCTGGGTGGGGTGTCGGTTTGGCCCAAAACTGCCGCCCCACCCAGCGGTTTTCATAGCCGCCCCGTAGCCCAGCGGTTTGTATCGAAAAACCGTGCCCCACCCAACGGTTTTCGTGTAAACCGCAGGGTGGGGTGTCGGTTTTTGAAAAAGATGGTATTTTTGAAATTTTTTGGGGTTGGGTGGTATTTTTGGAATTTTTTTTTAAACAGTGGTACTTCTGGATTTTTTCCCGTAGTCATGGGCTCCGGAATAATGACCAACTCACTCTTTCCTAATTTTCCTTGCTCCCCGTCAAGTTTTTGGTTTCCTTCAGATATAATCTTCTATAGGAGCCCAACTGAGGCAGACATAATCTTAAGGGTGTCCACGACAACTTTGTTATCTTTCCTCAAGGAATTCACTTGTGCTATAGAGGCATGAGCAAATTGATCGAAATCATTCTCCGTTGATGCCAAATTGAAACCCAATCTAATACTCTTTCTTCCAAACGTTCGAATTGACGCTTCAACTCCCGGCAAGACCCACAAGGTTCTGAAGTAGTGTGGTCTTGAGGATGTTCTAAAGGTGGACGAGAGGGACTAGAGTGATGATGTACCCTCGTGTTGAGTGCAAAGACTTGTTCTACCCAAGTCGAATCCTTATCGCCCTCTCCTGTAAGTTCCTTTTGCTCTCTGCTAATTTCGTTGATCTATCTCTCAATAGTCGACCCTCTACATATTGAAGTGATTGATGAAATTGAACTTGTTTGATGAAATTCGACAGATGTTGTTGGCCAACTTACTCGGTATTCTCCTTTGCTTACAAGCACTAAACTGACTGGAAAAGTTACCCGCAAAGAGCTACACTTGAAACTTCCAGAGTATGTATTTCTCTTACCTTTTCGTTTCAAAATTCAAATAACATACATTACTTTATTTCTAAGTGCAAATCTAATACATAATTCGGGTACATGGGATTGGTTGTCAAGGTAACTATCTTTGGTAGGATAGTCACCCAGTTTAATTCCATTCTTGCAAGTGCTAGTGATCGTCCTATAATCCTGGTCATTACATCATTATACATCGTTGGTTACAATGGTAAACACACAATTTAATTACTCTCATATCAATTAATATAATTCATATAAAATATACACTTAATAAACTTACCATAAAATTTGCAGGTGAGAATACATTCTCCTCAAGTGAAGCTACCTTACTGCTGGCTGATCCACAAATTCTTGAAGTCATTAATTTTGCACCAAGGTAAAACTCGCGACATCTTTGTCATTGTATTGATGTGCATTTTAAGTTACAAGCTTATAACGTATTAAGACATTAATAACCTACCTTTTTGGTGAATACAGTGGGGGTGATCCGCCAGCTCCGCCAGTGAAGGAAATAGAAAAACAGCAAAAGATAGTTCCGCTGAAAACAATAGATGATCTGAATATATTGAAGATGAACGAGGGAGAGGAGGTCAGTACCAGTTTCAATTCAACAACCTACTCATTATCAATTGCTAACACTACATATAAAATGCAGGGAAATATGTATTCTGTCATATGCAAAGTTCTCAAGGTTAAGAATGGGTGGTGCTATGCTGGATGTCAAAAGTGTCCACAAAAACTCGAAGAAGATTCTGATGAGTACTTCTGTGGGAATTGTATGACAACATTAAAGACCACTACAGCCCGGTAATTCGATGATTGTTTAATGTCAATTTTACTTTCATGTATTTCATTCCTTGATATATTGCTAACGTGGTTGGATACATGATTAACTACGACATAGTTTATGTTCCTTTTTTAATTTCATAGATATTGCAACGTGGTTGATAATTTAATTTGATGCAACATGCTTTCTAATCATTTATTTTTGGCTTACATATATTAATTCAACGACCTCACCACTCCTACGATTTTTCTTCTTCTTCAATCGCATCATTATAGTCATAGATTCAGGATCCACCTCCGAGCTGCGGACACAACAAATGCAGCTGACTTTGTTATTATGGATCGAGTTGCCGATCGATTTTTTCGCATATCTGCTGAAAAACTTTTCCAAGACAACGATCAAATGAGAGGACCACCACCGGCTCATCTCTTACAAATTGAAGGGATGAAGTTGAAGTTCTTCATCAAGCTCACAGGTAACAACATCGCTAACCCTATAAGCGAATACACAATTATCAAGATAGAGAAGGATGAGGAAAACTCCAACTCAAATGATCTCCCAATATTGATCGAGGTATGTACAAGTAATGTATGTGATTCTATGAAAATTATATCTATCACTGGAACTTCTATCTATTGATTCATAATTACCATGCACTCTGCATTACTTGAGCTTCATTTTGTCACGTTGATTTTGCTTTGTATATGATTCCATGCATGTTATTTCTATTACTGGAACTTCTATTTACTTAATATTATTACCATGCACTTTCCATTACGTCAGTTTCATTTTGATATGTATATAATTCTATTACTGCTATATAGATATGTATTAGGAGAACTTTCATTCATCAATGTAATCACGACCAATTGCAGGAGGAAAAAGTAGAACCTGCTAATGGTGTACCCGCTGCCGTTGATGCTGCTGAGAAAAAGCAAGATATTGCTAATGAGGAGGAGGTAAATATTATACGATATGATAATTTACTTTTACTTGCATAATAATTATAATACCTAAAATAAGTGCTAAATATAATGCAGAAAAATGAGGAAGAAACTCCCCAAATGCAAGAGAAGGAGGCCTCTACATTTAATGGAGCACAATGCGACACCAATGGCGACAAAGCAACTACTATGGATGGACGTACTGATGTTGTAGATGGAGCAGGAAGTGAAAAGAACCAGAAAAAACGGAAACATGGAGTTGTCTACGACGATGAGGAGTAAATAGAAGGATTCTTTTAAAACAATTTTAGGAGTCGGTTCCCTTTCATGGGGTTTTTCTTTCATTTTTCATATGAGGATTTAGTCGGTCAGGATGTCGGTTGAACTATTTTATTCTCTTCTTATATTTCGAATTAAAGAGGATGTCGGTTGAACTATTTTATTCTCTTTTTATATTTATGGTTAAAAAGGATGTCGGTCAAACTATTTTCTTCTCTCTTCATTTCGTATTGATTTTGGTACTATGCTGTTGTTTTTCTTGAATGAAAGGCTATGTTTGTTCTTCCTCTAAGGATTCACAAGAGGCAACAGCGGAAACCAATTATAAGCCACTGTTGGCTGATGATGGTATCCGATGATGTGCCATCCAAAATACTATGTAAATTGACTGAGGTAAAAGTTTTTTCCGATGAAATGATTGGTTCAAGTAGGGACTTCAAACATTGCCTTTTTTTGGACTGCATAGTCGTGCACTCCCTCTGCAGTCTGCACAGCACAATGGAGTTTCAGCTCAAAGTTCTTGAACTGGGTAAACTGTGTGGTGGAGAAGCCTCTTGAAGTTGTGTTCTCTTTTACATTATCGAATTTATTTCTTCATTTTTTTTTATAATTTTGAGATAGGAGACAAGAATGTTTTGTTACTTCCCCACTTGGTCGCGGAAGAAGTAAAATCCATATGGAATATGAATGTGTGATTCCTTACAATAAGGATAAATTCGTCTCTCATTGTCCTAAATCCTCCAATTTTACAATCGGGACAAATCTACGGGAGAGTTCAGAGTTTAAAAAATTCATTCAACCACAGCCTGGTATGATTTATAAACGAATCCGGCCAACCGGCCGGGCACGTGACTAGATTTGGGGTTACTCCTAGTCACGTGCCCGGCCGGTTGGCCGGATTCGTTTATAAATCAAGAAAATAGTTTAATCGACATCCTCTTTAACCATAAATATAAAAAAAAGAATAAAATAGTTCAACCGACATCCTCTTTAATTCGAAATATAAAAAGAGAATAAAATAGTTCAGCCGACATCCTGACCGACTAAATCCTCGTACGATAAATGAAAGAGAACCGACTCCTAGAATTGTTTTAAAACAATATTTCTATTTACTCCTCATCGTCGAAGACAACTCTATGTTTTTTTGTTTCTGGTGCTTTTCACTTCTTGGCCTCAATATTTGGCATTTCGATTCTATATTTCTTGGAAGCTCTTTTTTATTATGATGGGTTCGGTTGATATTAGCCATTAGAATTTTGTTCTTTTTTTGTCCTAATTATTATATGGTACCCACAATACAATTCCATTGTTGTGAGTAATATTTATCCCTACTCTGTTTAGCTTGATTTGTGATTAATTTGAATCGTTATAAAATGCATGTCAATGTTTTATGTAGAAAAGAAATCAGTAAGATGCAGATGTACTTATATTAGGGGTTGGTTTTCTCATATTGCCTTCGGTGATCCTTTTTCTAGACACGATCATTCTAAGGAATGAACTGTTTTTTATGGGACTTGGTTAGTAGTTATCAGTTCTATTCCTGACATCTTTGGTGGTTTTTGCTCATTTAATATAGAGGACTTTCAAATTGGTTTGTTGTCTATCTATTCTCGTCTCTGGTGCTTAAACATTTACCTTTTTTGACTCTTACTATTCAGGTCATTGGTGAAGCTGATATTAACTCCGTCAAAGCAAGGAAACTAATTGTTTTGCAGTATGGTTCTCATCCTGTTCTTTAGTTCAATATCCCTGGGGCTCCTTATGTTTTGCTGTACACATTTAAGTGCCTCGTGATTAGTTATAACTTAAAAATGAGTTTTCTGGTCTAGGACGTGGAAGGGATATTCTGCAAGAAAGGGACCTAGTTATGCTCCCCAAAGAAAGAAGTTTGCGAATGATTTGACCCGAGAAAACCTGCAGAGGTATGCATATACTTATTTTCACTGCACATAGTGTTCTTATAACTTCTTGGTCCGTTGTGTCCATGTAGCATAGCCTTTATTGATTGTTCTAGTATAAATCAAGAAAATAGTTTAACCGACATCCTCTTTAACCATAAATATAAAAAGAGAATAAAATAGTTCAACCAACATCCTCTTTAATTCGAAATCTAAAAAGAGAATAAAATAGTTCAACCGACATCCTGACCGACTAAATCCTCGTACGATAAATGAAAGAAAAACCCCATGAAAGGGAACCGACTCCTAGAATTGTTTTAAAAGAATCCTTCTATTTACTCCTCATCGTCGGAGACAACTCCATGTTTTCTTTTTTTCTGGTTCTTTTCACTTCCTGCTCCATCGACAACATCAGTAAGTCCATCCATAGTAGTTGCTTTGTCGCCATTGGTGTCGCATTGTGCTCCATTATATGTTGACGCCTCCTCTTGCATTTGGGGAGTTTCTTCCTCATTTTTCTGCATTATATTTAGCACTAATTTTAGGTATTATAATTATTATGCAAGTAAAAGTAAATTATCACATCGTGTAATATTTACCTCCGCCTCATGAGCAATATCTTGGTTTTTCTCAGCAACATCAACGGCAGCGGGTACACCATTAGCAGGGTCTACTTTTTCCTCCTGCAATTGCTTGTGATTATATTAATGAATGAAAGTTTCACTAATATATATATACATACCATTATATACATATCAAAATCAAACTCACGTAATGGAAAGTGCATGGTAATTATGATTCAATAAATAGAAGTTCCAGTAATAGAAATAACATGCACAGAATCATAAACATTGCAAAATCAACGTCTCAAAATCAAACTCAAGTAATGAAAAGTGCATGGTAATTATGAATCAATAAATAGAAGTTCCAGTAATAGATATAATTTTCATAGAATCATATACATTGCAAAATCAACGTCTTAAGTATTGGAAAGTGGATCCTGAATCTATGATTATAATGATGCGATTAAAGAAGAATAAAAATCGTAGGAGTGGTGAGGTCGTTGAATTAATATATGTAAGCCAAAAATAAATGATTAAAAAGCATGTTGCATCAAATTAAATCATCAACCACGTTGCAATATATATAAAATTAAAAAAGGAACATAAACTATGTCCTAGTTAATCATGTATCCAACCACGTTAGCAGTATATCAAGGAATGAAATACATGAAAGTAAAATTGACATTAAACAATCATCGAATTACCGGGCTGTAGTGGTCTTTAATGTTGTCATACAATTCCCACAGAAGTACTCATCAGAATCTTCTTCGAGTTTTTGTGAACACTTTTGACATCCAGCATAGAACCACCCATTCTTAACCTTGAGAACTTTGCATATGACAGAATACATATTTCCCTGCATTTTATATGTAGTGTTAACAATTGATAATGATTAGGTTGTTGAATTGAAACTGGTACTGACCTCCTCTCCCTCGTTCATCTTCAATATATTCAGTTCATCTATTGTTTTCAGCGGAACTATCTTTTGCTGTTTTTCTATTTCCTTCACTGGTGGAGCTGGCGGATCACCCCCACTGTATTCACCAAAAAGGTAGGTTATCAATGTCTTAATACGTTATAAGCTTGTAACTTAAAATGCACATCAATACGATGACAAAGATGTCGCGAGTTTTACCTTGGTGCAAAATTAATGACTTCTGGAATTTGTGGATCAGCCAGCAGTAAGGTCGCTCCGCTTGAGGAGAATGTATTCTCACCTGCAAATGTTATGGTAAGTTTATTAAGTCGGCCAACAACATCTGTCGAATACAAATATTTGAAAGTTAGTTATTGTTGTTGCAAATGCATAAGGTTGTAATTTGCATTGAGAATGGTATGTTGAACCTGATAGGTATTTCCTTTGGTTGCACTTCTTGGCAATTTCATCTTGTTTGATGAAATTGAACTTGTAAGCAGGTATGAAGCTCTCAATCACTTCAATATGTAGAGGGACACTCTAGCTTCAAAACAAGTCATTAGTCTTCAATTTCCATCTAGCCAATTGTATGATATGAATCTCCAAAGCAGGCACCATGAACTGTTTTTACACTGAAACAACAGATTAGGTCGACCTGATCCTATATGAGGTCGACCGAATCCTAAATGAGGTCGACCTAATCCTAACTGAGGTCGACCGGAAAGTGCAAGTCACCGTGACATGCATGTCACCGTAGGCGCACCCTAATCTTTATCAAGGTAAGATAATGTTCATGTTAAGGAGAAGGATGAGACTATTTTTTGATGATAAAGATAGATGTTTCATTGGTGAAAATGAAGGCATTGTTGTTAGTGGGCATGCATATGTTGTTTAGTCGATGGATTGGTCAGGATGTCGGATAATTATATTATGTATATTCGTTTTGAATGTTTTCCAATAATTAAATAATCTGGATTAATTTTTATACTAAAAAATGTTTCATACTTATAAGATTTTAAATGTTGATTATGTAATTGACGAACCCGACCATCGGGTCGGGCCCAAATCTAGTAGTAAGTGAAGCAATGCTACATGGATCACAGCAAGTCAGCAACAACATAGACTCCCTCATCGATGATTCCACCTGCCAACTCTTTGAAATATCTACGGAAATAAATAAATAAATAAATAACTCAGATCTTTTCCCCGTTTAATTCAAACCCGAACATTTCCATGCAAGAACAAGGAAACAGATAGAATTGTAGGAGGCAGTATCGAAACTTCAAACAACAAATAAGAGAACTTAATAACATCCAAATCTGTCCAACAGAATTCCTAAAATAAGACCAAAATTGTCCCCAAAATATTCAGTAAGCAAGCAAGCTTTTCTTCTCCGTCTTCTCTCTTCTTTACGCATTGCTTAGCGAGATAGATTAGGATAGAACTATGCAATAAAAGATGACAAAACAAGAGCTGCAACATCAAGCACAGTGCAGAATCCTTACGAGATAGAACACCAGCAACCTTGAAAGCAAAGCCACACAATAATAAGGCAACCCAACCGCTGTGCTATGGACATACACAGACGTCTCACAATCTCGGCAAAGCACATATCTTTTTCAGGACGACCTTCACTGTTTTTTCTGAAATCATTCCATTCATTCCTTCCTTTATTTACGCACATCGATCCAAGCTCACATTTCTCCCATGTCGGCTTCTGACACTCCCATTTCCTGGTTTCGATATTTCTTCACTGCTCGGCAACAGAGAGTTGCGCTTGCTCTCCTCCAGCCATCATCAACTCTTGCGCTTCATCTGGCTCGATTTCACTAACCTTAGCTCTCGGAGGACCGACGACTTCATTAGCTTCCTGCTCAGCTGACGACGATGGGAGTTTCACGTTGTCGTTTGTTGCTTTGGTTTCACCTCCAGTTTTCCCGTTGGTTCTGGTCAGTTTGGTCGTCTGAGATGGAAGCCTGGGGAGTGACTTCCGGAGTGGCTTTTTAGAAAGGGCCGGGGCTACCTCTTTTGGTGTAGGAGTATTCTGAGAGACTTTGGCATTCAAACTTAGTCGGCCTAATGCTACTCCACTTGCTTCCATGTTATTTCCATCAGCATCTGCAGGCGATGAGCTCTTCCTTCTACCTAATTTGGGAGATTTGGGTCTTGTTGTGGGTATCTGGATAAAAAATAGGTTAACCTGTGATGAGCTCTTTCAATGGTATTATGAGATGATAAATAAAAGGGTTCTATCAACTCCAGAGAAGGATTAACAACTCTTGAGCACCCAATTTCAGAGAAAGTAATCACCATAGAGGATTCAATACAACAATTGACAAACCACAATTCAGCTAACGAGCAACTATACAAGCAATTGAAATGATAGGAAAGTGAGAAATGAAAGCAAACAGTTTACCTTCTTCAACTCCGTCCTTTCTGGGGGAGGCTCCTGATAGAAGGTAGGCATTGGTGTTGCCTTAAAGGTCAAACTCTTCCTCAGCCGCCTGAGTTCGGCTTCTTGGCTTTCCTGTACAGAAATAAGGTAAGTTTCTGTGTTCACATATATAAAATTATGTATAAAATACAGTAGATCAAAAGTCATTTTAATACAACCTTAGACTTGGCCTGCATGTTATTCTTTTCTTCTTCTTTCGCATGGATCTTCTCCTCAAGTTTGGTGTAGAACTGCCCAGCGCAGAGAGAGACATTACGAGATGTAGTTGACAACAAGAGAAGCCTGCATTTTTATAAGTTTATAATCGACCAAGTTTAAGCACAACACTGACCTCCCTCCTTTTCTCCGCCCGCTCATCACACTTGAAGCTAAAGCCATAGTTTGGAAGTGCTCCAGTCTTACGAGGTTTACCATCACTTCCAGTGGGACTTCTGTCATTGTTAAGGACTAACTCATGTAAAAGAGAAGAATAAAATTTCGGCAAGAGATTGAGGATGGGACCAACTAAGCATGTATAGACGACAAATAAAACGTTTGCACCACTTAAAGGATACGAAGAAGATTGCCTATCTCCATCAGCTTCAGCCATGGGTGCTTTCTTCAACGGTTTCAATGTTGTCTTCTTTCTGTATGAAACATCGAAATCAAAGTAGCAAAATAAAGGTAATAAAATTTAGGACCCTATGTTGGGAACACGAAAAGCAAATTAAGACTTTCAAGTTACAAAAAGACTTTTTTTTGCAAAAAGTATCTGAACGACTTCATATTCATTTCATTTATGAAATATTATTTCAAGTCGAGGTTTCCAGAGGACGGAAAACATACATGAGGGATTCAGTTGATGCCGCTTCAGACTTTCCAGATAGCTGTTAGAAGCAAAGAACGGAGTAAAGATAAGGATCCTGAAACGCACAAACAATACTCTTAAAAGCAAGGAGGTGAACAATATACCTTTGTGGCCTGGGCCTGCTTCTCGCTGAAGGATTTAGCCTTAGAGGGCAATTTTGCTCGTGAATTCTGAATTGCAGTACCATTAGCAACAGTAGGGGGTGCCACACCTTTGAAGTCTTTGCCCTTTGGAAGCTGTGCCCCTGATGCTTTTCTGGGGTTCGAAAGCTTCTCATTCTTGCTCTTTCCTGGAACTTGCACCAATTGTGCTTTCTCTGAATAGTCTGCATCTTTCACTCCCTCTCCTTCCTAAAAAAAAAGAAACGAAAAACACTGTGAGAGAGGTTTGAGAAATCTACTCCTGTAAGACGGAATAAAGAAAAACCAACCTTGGCAACAGCCAAGTCATGGTCTTCAGCAGTTACATTAGAGCCTTCAACGGTCTCAACACCGTGATCGAATGTAGCTCCATTCATGTTGTTATAGAAAACATCATCCCCCCCAGAGACAGCATTGTGCTCATGGCCACCATTTTGATGGTTCATCTCAAACTCATCAGTGAGCAGAACTCCGTCCATATCCATCACACTCTGCAAGGACCAAGATTTTGAATCATACACAGGACTGGAGATTGCCCAACGCAAGCAAAAGACAAAGGCATGGGAAAATAGATGAATTTATCCACTACATCATGAAAAGTGACCTTAAACTAGTTACCCGTGAATGTCATCTACAATGTATCATTTCTTTCGAGCAGTTTGGCTGATCAAACAAGACAAGTCTTGAAAACCCCATACTTCTTTGTATGAAAGGAATCCATCCATCAAACAGAAAGTCGGCAAAATATATTTAGCAATGGGGAATCAATCAGCACCCTAAAACCGTGAAGCCAACAAGCAGAATAAAACAAACAACAACCCTCCAAAAGGTTGATAATTTCTTGGCAGACACAGCTCGCCAAGAACAAATTTCAAGGATTCTTGTTAGCGCCCGAAGAAACTAGAGAAAAGGATAACAATGGGAGTTCCAAATACCGTTGCCTTAGACGCTTAAAGAAAAACCGTGAGCTCCACCCAGTCAAATCATCTTCCAATAGCCAGAATATAATCCATTAGATTCCAGAAAGAAAGCACAAATTCGAAGGGGGCAAACATCCAGCGCGTCACTCTGATGTACAGTAAGATTCCATTCCAGAGAAATCACCAAACAGTATCTTGGATCTAACCACACACCCCAAAAGCATTCCCAAGACGCAAGTCCATCACTGCAAATTTCAAGATCGTAACCCGGCCGAGGCCAGACGAATATGCTCAAAGCAAATCCCACTCATTTTCACCTGAATCTCACTGGCATTTCACAGCTATATATATACTCCTTAAACAAGGTTCACTTTCTCTCATCACCAACCAGACAGGCAATAGGGGAAAAAAGACGCAGCATTCGCAAAGGTTTACCTACAGCTCGAGCACGCCCGCCGCAGTAGTCACAACTCCATTCGCAGAAGGAATCCGAGAGGATCTGGCTGAGACAACTTGAGAAGTAGCAGTAGAAGTACGCCGGATCCGACCAGGAGAGCGGAGCGATCCAACTTTGCTCCAAGTGAGCCGCGGTGCTACAGTGGTTCTTTAGTAGGAATGGTGGCGGCGAGAGGGGAAGTCGCAGTCGGGCGAGTTGTGGAAAGGGGAGGATTTGGGATGGGGAGAGGGCGCTTCTCTGTCTTCTTCACAAGTCTTTGAACACAGCGGCTTTCAAATCCATTTCAAGGTCACAAGCAACAGAGAGAAGGAAGAGAGAGAGAGAGAGAGAGAGAGAGAGGGGGGGTTGTGACTTGTGAGTGAGTGAGTGAGTGAGAGCGTGAGTGAGCGGGCGAGTTACACGAGTTATTGGTGGGTGGAGAACTGGAGTTGGAGAGATGGAGGAGATCGGAGGGAAGGGGGGAATACGAATACGTGTACGGTTACAGAGGAGATGGAATAATACGGTTAAACATTTCTACGGGTTTTAATGGAGGAAAAGACGGAAGGTAAAATAGGCAGGTATTTACCGGCGGTTAACTGGTTAAAGTAGAAAGTAACTGCCGTTTTACCACTTTTGCAGCTTTATTATTGTTTGGCCCAAGGTTGTCCACCCGCGGGTTCGACCCACTTTGACCCTGATCCGGTGAGAAAAACGGGCCGCACGTACCTACCGGGTCGACCGCTACAAGGTATCGGGTTAGAGGTCAAATTGTGTCATTTTTTTCTTTGGTTTGCGAAATGCGCCTATTTTTCGATTTTTCTTTTCGCCTAACTCAATTTTTGGAATCCAAAGTTGAACATTTGAATATTGATGTTATATAAGTGTGTGTGAATTTTCACTATATGTTGGATCTAATTAGGACATGTTATTTTGGTGTAATATTTATGTTATAACTCATATGTTAGATGAGATTTGATATAATTTATCAGGATAAGTACAATGTAATGACTCTTTCCACATTTTTGGGCAAAACCGGGCTAAAACGGGTGACCCATTAACCCTTGACCCACTAGCTCGTCCGGGTTCGAGTCAACCCGCGGGTTGACAACCTTGCTTTGGCCAATACTACAGTGCCGCTCTAAAAAGTGTGGCACCAGTGACACGGCTTGTGATTGGTCCACGCGAACATGACATGGTGCTAATTTGTTTTCCTAGTAAACCTAAACCCGATATCCTGGAATATAACTCAAACCAATTTTGGCCCAAATAACCACTGATTCCATCTTTCCAATTCCCATCCGTTTTTTTTTTCCCAAAGTCAGTGTTGAAAAGATAGTCACAAGAAGAAAGAAAGAAACGCGCGGGAGTCGACCAATAGTCGAACTCCCGATGAGAGGGCCTTTTGTGCCACATGATGGGCAGCCCTAATTAGTCGACGAAAAACAAAGCAGAAAGAAATCAAGCTGAAGTGAGAAGCTAAGCTCCGAGCATCCTCCAGTAGAGCTCCACCCCTATCATGCGCAAGTCACCTCCCACCATCCCGTCGTATCAATTGTTGTGAATCCCCATGAAATTTGATAGAAACAAAGGAATGGGTCAGGCACCACTGTATGGCCTCCAGTATAACAAATTCATAACACTTTTCGAAAGCAAAGAGAATAATATCTGACGATTGGAAACCACAAAGCCAATACTACCTTCGTGACTATGCTTGACCGCACCATCAAACTAAACATTAATAGTGTTCAAGGGGTTCCTTCAACATCAGGGGCGTCATTTTCCAAGTGCTCCATCAAATCTCATCAAAAGGCCACCTAGTGGACAAGACAACCGCCACCGATCGACTATTGTGCAATTGAATCTTCACCTGCAAAATGAGCAAACAAAGGCCCCTACTAGGACAATCCAGGCCAAAGAGCCAACAAGTCAACATAGACACAAGGCAGCATTTCGCCCTTGAAATAGAGAACCAGGTCATCGGGGAACCCTAGATAACCGGCACCACCCGTTACAAATCTAAACCTCTTTTTTTTATTAAAAGGAAAAACCTAAATTTCGGGGACCTAACAATTTGCAAGTATATAATGTTAAAAAGAAGGCAATAGATACGAACTAGAAATATGAAAAATGATGTAAAGAATAATTAAAAACAAAATAAAGTAAGAAGGATAATTATTAAGGGAAAGAAATAAATAATAATAATAATAATAAAGAAATAAATAAATGATAAGGGAGTACTTATCTGAACCGTCGACCAAGAAGCGTAACAGCAACCTCGTTCGTGATTGTAACCGACAATACCACATTCCCAAGAGACCGTCCGTCTGCCCTGTCTCCCCTGGCGCGCGGTTCGTCGATTGAGGCGGTTACTCATACGAAACGGTTACATCCCATCCGTGTGTCTCTTCCTCTGCCTCTCCCGTCTCCTCACCTTCCGTCAACGACGTTCGGTTTCCAATTCCCGTTACCATCCCTTCGCCTACCACCGTCCTTCCGACGGGACTTTCCAAGTCCAGCCAGCGATCGGCCTTCCGATCCAAGTCAGCAAACGTGTCCCAGGCCTCCTTTACGGAACAAGTAACTCCGGCGATGTGCTGTGTGAATTGCCACGATCGGATTCTTCTCCTTTGTCTCCGGTTGCCAAAAGACATCAAGACGAGGCGCTAGATCTTCAAACTGTCTCTATTTCCTTCCCGGCGTCCTCACTTCCAAGAAGGCCCGCTGCCGGCATTATTGATCAGGACCGGCTTTACCTAATCCCATCGCTTCATTTTCCACGGGGGATGGAGAGCCATGCTTGCAAAAGTCTGCTTTTCCCGCGCCACATCAAGTCACAATACTGCGACGGCCATGTGATTGATGTTCTCCGGTAGCTTGTGCTCTGAGGCGAGAATTGGTAGGTGGCCTGTAAAATTTAGCAAGAACGATAAGAGATGACACGAGATTTTACGTGGTTCTTCCTCACAGTGTGTGAGGCTTACATCCACGGGAAGATTCTGTTCTCTTATTGTGTGTTGTGGCCGATGGCCTGATACATGTATTTATACCCTTTTACAACGTAATCATCTAGGGCATAACAAGGAGAACGAATACATGTAGAATAAGGACTGTTTGCTCGGCTACTTGGTGTCCAAGTAACTGCGTGTGAGCTGAGCTGGGCTGGCGAACTGGATGTCCTGATGTCCTGGTCCAATACTCCCCCGCAAGCTGGCATGTGGAGATCACGAACATTCAGCTTGGAGAGAAGGAAACGAAAACGATCCGCACCAAGACCTTTTGTGAGAATGTCAGCTAGCTGCAACTCCGTCCAAACTTTCACAGGTAAGATCTCCCCAGATTGCACCCTTTCACGAACAAAGTGACAATCCATCTCAACATGCTTCGTGCGTTCATGAAAGACAGGATTATTTGCAATGTGACAAGCAGCCTGATTATCACAATGTAACGGGGTAGGAAAGTCCTGCTTAATGCCAAGTTCACTTAAGAGCCACCGAAGCCAAAGAAGCTCGCTAACAGTGCTCGCCATAGCTCGATATTCAGCCTCTGCTGAAGACCGAGCAACAACTCTTTGTTTCTTGGTGCGCCAAGAAATCGGTGCGCCACCAAGGCTGATAAGATAGCCAGTAGTAGAACGTCGAGTGCTTTGACACCCACCCCAATCTGCATCACAATAAGCAGTAAGACGAAGGGGATTATCAATGGGAAAAAACAAACCTTGTCCAGGTGAGGCCTTAAGATAGCGCAGAACACGATGGGCGGCCTCCATGTGAGCATGACTAGGTGCATTTACGAACTGACTCAAAATATTCACCGCATAGGTGATGTCAGAACGGGTAACCGTCAAATATAAGAGTCTCCCAACCAGTCGCCGGTAAGGAGATGGATCGGCGAGCACATCATCAGTGGGTCGTGTGAGCTGGTGATTTTGCTCAATAGGGAATGGGTTGGGGCGAGAAGCCTGCTGTCCGGCATCCTTTAATATATCCAGAACATACTTCCGTTGACTAAGAGAGATACCTTCTGTTGTACGGGCTACTTCAATGCCGAGAAAGTAGCAAAGGGGACCAAGATCTTTGATGCTAAACCGATCATGAAGGAAATTCTTGACTTGGGCGATGAAGGATGAGTCATTTCCAGTGAGGATGACGTCGTCGACATAAATGAGTGCGACAACAAAGGTCTTGCCGTGTCGGTAGATGAACAAGGAGTGATCAGCTGGGGATGCACGAAAACCAAACTCGCATAGGGCAGCAGTAAATTTCTGGTACCAATTGCGAGAAGCTTGACGAAGACCATATATGGACTTATGGAGACGGCAAACCATATTATCACCTGGAGCACGGAACCCTTGAGGAATCTCCATATAAACTTCTTCCTCCAAATCCCCATGCAAAAATGCATTGTTAACGTCGAGTTGCTGTAGATCCCAGCCTCGACTTACAGCAACAGCTATCAAACACCAAACTGTGACCAACTTAGCCACAGGAGCAAAAGTGTCGTGAAAATCCAAGCCTTCAATTTGAGTATAGCCCTTCGCGACCAAACGCGCTTTGTAACACTCAATAGTACCATCGGGAAGGTATTTAATTTTATATACCCATTTTGAGGCAATAGCGCGCTTCCGAGGAGGCAATGCGACCAATGTCCAAGTGCCATTTTCTTGAAGGGCCACGATCTCTCTGGTCATGGCGTCGCGCCAAAACTTGTGGCGTACGGCCTCGTGGAAATAAAGTGGCTCGTCCTCCTGGGTAATAGCTGCAAGAAAGGAACGATAATGGGGTTTAAAGTTGTCATAAGTAACATAGGAAGCAAGGGGATAACGTACAGGAGAGGTATCACTTCCCTGAATTGGTGAGGCAGATGAAGCATGGGTGGCAAAGGCCGTGTCATAAGCGTCCAAATGCTTGGGACGCGTCCTTGCTCGATCACTTCTGCGAACTTGTGGGGCAGATGGTGGTTCTAGGACGGCTGGCGAGGGAATTGAACTTCCAAGTGGCTGCTCAAATTGTTCATCAGCCGAGCCGCCAGGTGTAGAAGTTAGCTCGTGCATGGCTGGTGACGTCATGGCCGATTCTCCTTGACTCGCATTCTTCATGCTCATTGGCGTAGCAGGGGATTTTACCGGAGTAGATGGTGGAGATCCATGCTGTGAATGAGCAGGAGGAACAGTGCGAAGAGGCGTGGGGGACAAGGGCTGATCGGTGGGAGGAATAGCCTGAACGAGAGGTGTAGAGTCCTCCATGTGTTCCTCGACAGCCGGCACCATGGGACGAGGTACCCAATGTAGTTCTCGGCCTGTATCAGCCTGGAAGGGATAGCGCGTCTCGTGGAAAATGACATCACGAGAGGTGATCATCTTTCGAGTAACCAGATCGTATATGCGATAGCCCTTCTGACTAGTGGCATAACCAAGAAAAACACCAGCCTGTCCTCTAGCCGCAAACTTGTCCAAATGAGCGTGAGTATCCTTGTAATAAACCAACAACCAAACACGCGCAAATGATC